CAGCTCAAACACCCGGGCTCGGTCATCTCGGGCAGGCTCGGTAGGAGCTGCAGGCGCTGGGAGCAGCTCCGTGTCCTGCAAACAGCCCGCTCTGCGGGGAGGGCAGGCGGGCAGGGCTTTCCCCTGGCCCGGGGACAGAGGGGGCTCTGGCCACCCATTCCCAGTGCTTCCCTGGCTGTGGGATGTGCCTGCAGCAGGGGAGGTGCCAGGTCCGAGCTGCTTTCCCCTTGAAGAGCTTTCCAGCCTGTGGATTTGTCTCCACTTCTGGTGTGTTTCCATCAATAAGCACAGGAATCTTCACTCCATTTTAGCCCCCTGTTCAGCGAGATGGCCACGCTGAGTGTGAAGCCAGGGCAGCGGTTCTCGGTGCCAGACTGGCACACCAGCTCCCACTTCATCTCAGCTGATGCTGAGAACACACGTTCTGCTTCCCACCAAATCCGGCAGGAAGCCCGAGCCCTCCGCAATGAAACCAACAACCAGGTGAGTCCTGGCTGCTCCTGGGCCTCAGAACAGTGGGCTGGGGAGTGTGGGAGAGAAGGAGGAGGCTTTGCCTCTAGAGAACCTACTAATTATGTCCCTTTACTTCCTGCAAACCCCTGTGCAGTGCTGTGTGGGTACTGAGTCCCCAGGCCATGATTCTCACGTCCTTTGCAGCTTGTTTTCTGTGCTCTCCATTCGTGTAGGTGCCCATTAGACCAAAAGGCATCATCTTGTGCTCCTGTCAGGGGTCAGTCAATGCTGAAAACAGGGAAAGGCTTCAGCAAGATTCACAGTTGCAATTTAAAAAGGAGTAATGGTGTTTCTCCTCCAATTGCAGGCGAAGTGGGATGAGCACGACAACCGAACCCGCCTGGCTGAACGGATCAGCAGCGTGAACAGATGGAAGGAGACCTTGGACAAATGTCTTGCAGACACAGATGCGGAAATCGAAGCCTTATCCAAAGTATGGTGTGAGGACAGATGGCTGGAAATCAACTTGTGCTTTTAACATGGGATGTTAAATAACTGAGGCTTGTCTTCTGTGATGGGCTTGAGTGCAGGCAAGGCACTGTGTTCTAGGCTGAGCCAGGCCCTTTCATGGAGGGGTGCATTGCATGCTCATCCCTGGGTTTTGGATGGGGTTTGTTGTGATTTTTTTTGTTGGTTTTGTGGTGATTTTTTTTTTAAAAGAAAAACAACTCTAAAGGATGAGAAGTTAGTTAACACCATTATCCAAAAAAGTTTTGTTTTAAATAGAGCATAGCAGTGGGACATCTCTCTGATTCCTTTAGTCCTGAACCTCTAGGCTGCTGCTTCTGGAGTCCTCAGGCTCCAGCAAGGTGTGACTCCCGAGGCAAACAGCAGATGTGGAGGAGTAACCTGGTGGGCCTTGGCAGTTTTCACTCCAGACTTGCTAGAAGGTTTCTGAACTGCAAAGACAGGCTGAGTGAGGCCCTCTTAGCAAGGGTGTTAGTGGGTTCCCCTTCCTTTCTTCCTTGCATCCCTGAAGGAGACCCTCCCCACACCCAGCTGACTCCTTCCTGCAGGTGAAGGAGGCTGCAGAACGTGCTCTCCAGGCCAAGAACCTGCGTCTGGATGTTTCCATCGAGTGCCTGACGCTCCGCGAGAGCCGCCGCGCCATCGACGTGGTGCGGGACCCTGTGGAGGAGGAGCTGCACAAGGAGTTGCAGGCGAAGTGGGATGAGCACGACAACCGAACCCGCCTGGCTGAACGGATCAGCAGCGTGAACAGATGGAAGGAGACCTTGGACAAATGTCTTGCAGACACAGATGCGGAAATCGAAGCCTTATCCAAAGTATGGTGTGAGGACAGATGGCTGGAAATCAACTTGTGCTTTTAACATGGGATGTTAAATAACTGAGGCTTGTCTTCTGTGATGGGCTTGAGTGCAGGCAAGGCACTGTGTTCTAGGCTGAGCCAGGCCCTTTCATGGAGGGGTGCATTGCATGCTCATCCCTGGGTTTTGGATGGGTTTTGTTGTGATTTTTTTTTGTTGGTTTTGTGGTGATTTTTTTTTTTTAAAGAAAAACAACAACTCTAAAGGATGAGAAGTTAGTTAACACCATTATCCAAAAAAGTTTTGTTTTAAATAGAGCATAGCAGTGGGACATCTCTCTGATTCCTTTAGTCCTGAACCTCTAGGCTGCTGCTTCTGGAGTCCTCAGGCTCCAGCAAGGTGTGACTCCCGAGGCAAACAGCAGATGTGGAGGAGTAACCTGGTGGGCCTTGGCAGTTTTCACTCCAGACTTGCTAGAAGGTTTCTGAACTGCAAAGACAGGCTGAGTGAGGCCCTCTTAGCAAGGGTGTTAGTGGGTTCCCCTTCCTTTCTTCCTTGCATCCCTGAAGGAGACCCTCCCCACACCCAGCTGACTCCTTCCTGCAGGTGAAGGAGGCTGCAGAACGTGCTCTCCAGGCCAAGAACCTGCGTCTGGATGTTTCCATCGAGTGCCTGACGCTCCGCGAGAGCCGCCGCGCCATCGACGTGGTGCGGGACCCTGTGGAGGAGGAGCTGCACAAGGAGGTCAAGCTGATAGAAAAAGCCAAGAAAGAGCTGCAGCAGAAAGTGCACGAAGCCTTTGAACAGCTCTGGTGAGGGGAATGACACAGCTCTTGGCCAGACTCTGCCCGCCTTGCTCGGCCCCAGCAGTTTGTGCCTGTCGTGCCCTGAGATGGGCAGGCAGGCCCAGGTGTGGTTGCCCTGGGGCTGCTGGAGGAGCCTCTGGTGGTGGTTGTTGAGGTCTGTGGAGTTTGGGGGGACGCAGGGGAGCAGGAACATGGGTGTGCTGCTTCACCAGGCTGGGCCCTGGTCACTGGGAAGGTGGGAGCCCATCAGTAATTTGAGAAGGATGACTGAGGTGGTGCTGAAAGCTTTGGAAACTGAGAGCTGCCTCCCCCCTCCATGTGCTCCCACTGACTCCAGCTCTGCTTCCCACAGCCTCCTGCAGGAAGCTCGGCAGCAGCTGAGCTGGGACCACAGGTGCAAGACAGAAGCCTTGGAATTAGATAATGTGTGTTTGTCCCTCAACGTCAACTGTCCCAACATCACCTTCAAGGTCAACCCAACGCGGATCCCAAATGGGTAAGGAAAGAGCCCTTGTGTGGCCCAATCCGTGCTGGTGCTTGAGAGAGCCTGGGGGGGCTGCTGCCTTCTGTGCTCTGGCCTGGCTTGATGGGTGCAGAGAGAGCTCAGAACAGGAGCTGGCTGCTGGGATTTGTTGTGGCTCTTGAGTTGTGCAGGCGCAGACTTCTGGGAGTTCTCTAAATCATCACCACACAGAGAAGGTGGCTGCCCTGCCTCCCTGGCTGTAGGTGACACTTAGTAAGCAGTGTGGTATCAGCCTTTGGCACAACTTGTGGGGGAGTTGCTGCACATTTTCACTTGCTTGGCATTTTATAGCAGGGTTTGGATGTGTCCCCAGTTTGAGCAGATGTTGGGCTTGGATCAGGAGCCACAGGGCAGCAATCTCCAGCTGGTGCAGTGAGGGGATCAGACAGGATGCGGCCTCCAGAATTCCTGACTCACTTTGCGCTGCGCAGAGCTGCCTTGGCCTGCAGCAGGTGGTTCTTTTTGAACTTGTCTTGCAACCCCCCAACTTAGTAGTTTGCTGATTTGATCACAGATCAACTACACCTGAGGAGTGGCAGCAGAATAGCCAGTCCAACAAGGATCGTGCCGAAGCAGAAATGAAGGCTTCCACTGAGCTCCGAGAAGCAATAGTGCTGCTCATTGCCCAGGTAAACCCATCCCTTGGCTCTCAATTGGTGTGCAGAGGTTGGATCCAGAGGGGAGAAGGGGCTGGTGTGTGCTGTGGCCAGGGAAGGGGGTCTTTGAAAAGCCAGCACTGGCCAGCTGGTCTATCGGAGAGCAGCCACCTCCTGCTGGAAAGGGGAGCTTGGCTCTGCTGTGCAGCTGCCAGGACACAGCTGGTTTTGCTCACAGGCTCAGTCTCACAGGTCACCTTGTTTGATGGTCATACTGGCAGCTGCTGTGGGGAGACACCTTCTGGAGCTGTGACTGGAGCCTGTTCTCTCCTCAGACAAACAACGAGCTGGAGGCGCAGCGAGTGGCCACAGAGTTTGCCTTTCGCAAGAGGATCAGAGACATGGAAAGAGCCCATGGGGAGCTGAAATGGCAGGAGCAGAATGTAAATGTTGCTTTTTTGGTTATCAACCAGAAACCTTGAGTGTGAATTGGACCCAAAAAGGTTTTTATGTGCGAAGCTGCTTGGCCTGAGCATGGTTCCATGTGACAGCTGTTAAGTGGCCGTTTTGTTTTGCCAACTGCTGTGGCCATGAAACACCAGCAGCACCAAGCCTGGTCTGTGTGAAAAGCCCAGGCTCTGAGCAGCAGGGCTCAGTACTCGGAAGCCCACCAGACCTTGTCTGAAATTCATTCCCAGCACAGCAAAAGCCCAGGATGCACGGGGGCTGTTTTCCAGTCTGTATCCCTGGCTGCGCCTCATGATCCATGTCTTTATCCTTAGACCATGGAAGAAATTGCTGAGATGGAGGAGGACATCCGGCGCCTGGAGGAAGATCTCCGCAGGAAAGTGCAGGACCTGAAGGTGGCACACACCCGCCTGGAGACCCGCACGCAGCGACCCTGGGCAGATCTGTGTCGGGACCAGGTACCAGCTGGGGGGACGGGAGAACCGACCGGGATGGGGCTTGTGGGGGTCCGAAGGTGTGGGTGAGCAGTGGATCCTATAGTCATGCAGCAAAGCAAGGAGATAAACATCTCCAGGCTAGAAGGAGAGAATTGTGGCTTTTGTAAAACAAGACTTCAGCCCCATGAACTGCTGTGTCCTCCCTCCCCGTTGCAGGTGCAGTTTGGGCTGACAGATGAGGTCTACCAGCTGGAGGGGACAATCCGTGCGCTCAGGCAGAAGCTGGCAGAGTCACAGTAAGTCCCCTGCTCTCTGGGGCAGAGAGGTGGCCCAGCCTTGCCCCAGTGAGGGACGTGGCCACGTGCAGCCCTGGAGCACTTCCAGAGCTGCGTTTTGGAAGCTCATGTCTGCTGAGATGAGGAGTGGAAGTAGTCCTGGGAGCTGGGATGGGGCAGCAGGGTGCAGGCAAGGCAGGAGAGGTCTATGTGGTGGGAGGGTTCCCACAGCCCCTGCTTGACTCAACCAGGCTCAGACAGGTCTAGAAGGGGTAAAATACAAATGGGTGAAAAGGAAAGGAAGAGCCAGAAGTGCTGCTCTGGCGTGGGCTGCCAGGGTGCACAGCTCTGCCCAGGAGCAGTGTGTGGTCTGGCTGTTCCCAGTGCTGCTGCCACGCTCCAGGAACCACCCGGGGCCTTTGTTCTCCCTGCAAAGGCTGCACGTTTCTGTCTGATGCCAGAAAGTGGGAAGTTGGGCGTTTCCTGTCCAACTTGGGGAGTGAAGGCAGCGCTTGAACCCAACTCCTCTCACTTCTGCCTGTTCCCAGGGATGCCTTGAATGCTCTTCAGAGACAACTCCACCGCATCCAGACAGATATTGGCTACAAAGCCAATTCCCTGATGCTGGACAACAAGTGCATGGACATCCGGAAAAAACTCGTGGTCCCCGTCGAGAATTTTGTGCCAGATCTTGACACTTTCAACAGGACCATGAACCGTGTGCCCTCGCCAGTGGAGAAGGGGCAGCCAGAGTTGGCTTAGAGTGCCAGGGAATGTTATGTAACCAGGAGAAGGCTCCCAGTGACTCAGTTCCGCAGCAAGGAAAGAGAACATCTGTGTTGTGTTAGGATAATGGGATTCTCTTCCCTCCTCCGAGTTTGTTGTATAACTGTCTGTCCCCTTCCACGATGTTTATAGGTTCCTGCACTCCGAGGAGCATTATAAACAATAAAGAGTCTGTCCCCAAGAGCTGTTGTCATCCGACAGTGTTGGAAGCTGCTTCCCAGTGATTGAATCCATCTGGGGGCCTCTTTAGCTGTTTTTAAGTCCTTTTAAAGCGCGAAAAGGGACAGTGTAAGGGGACAGATGTGCTCGGGGGGTGGTGCACGGGCTCAAATCTTGCTCGGATTTGCGGGGGAGGAAAAAAAAAACCCAACACTTTCCTTCCCTGGAAATGGGGAGATGAAGCAGCGGGAGCCCGGGGGTCCCTGCCCGCGCCGCGCTCCTCCGAGCCGCCAGGGGGCGCTCTCCGGAGCAGCCGCGCCTCGCGGCCC